TCTAATAATTTTTCCACATAAAGATATTATCACTCCTAAAATAATCTCAACAAATTTAAAAGTGTGCTGGTTTTTTTTTGCTATTGAAAATCACTTTACAAATTTTCATTCTTCTTTTTAAATCATTTCTTTGAGCGCATTTAACGGATTTAATTAATTCAGCACAGAAAAAAAGAAGCAAAAACCACTCAATTTTCATGAAATATCCATTACTGCCTCTTGAAATGTAAACAAAAAAAAGATGCATTCAATTTTTGAACTAATGGTAAACATCATTCATTTATTTTAGCTGTGGTTGAAATTTTTTGAAACACAGGTAAAACTATAAAACAGGTATCGAGACTGCATTTTAAGCAATCATTTAATTTGTGACAAAAAATTCATTTATTTGTTAAATTGAAAGAAGCTAATAATACTAGTAACATATCAATATTATTAATTTATTTCCAGAAATAGCAAAATGCAAATAATTTGAGGATGATTAAGTAGCTGAAAAAGTTAGATGCATAGTTATATCCCTTATAAATAACTTCTTTACGCAATCATTTATTGGAAATAAGCAAAAAATTAAGGATGGAAAATCGAGGTTGATTATTAACATCCGAGTGAACTTTTTTTAAGTACTTTTATTGACAGAATTATGGTTTATAAAGCTTACTGGCTTAACTTTATATAATTAATGAGCAGTTATGCAAATTGTGCTTCAAACTTTTTGCTAATTAGTTTGCAAGAAAATAACTTCGTAAAGTAGCATAGAATAAAATGAAAACCAAAAAATTTCAGCTCCAACAAATGAAAAACAAATTTATTTGGACATAGAATTTGAAGATGTCACGAAGTTTTTATAATTTTCATAAATATCAAATAATTTATTTCAGATGAATTCACTCAAGACCGGTACATTATGAAGAATTTGATGCCATATAAACTATATGATGAATTATTCAGTGATAAAAACATTAAGTTCACTTTTTAAAAAAAATTGATGATAGATTGATTATCATTTTTTTTTCATTTTTCTTCATGTTATCATTTTCTTATCTTATTGGAGCTAAAAACTTTTTTCAATTAAAAGAAACTTTCTTAGCTAAGCTGGGATCAATTTTTAACGCGGTAAATTCTTCAATATTACTGATAAATTATCAGGAGTAATGAGTGATAAAACATTGTTTTCCACTATGTTCATAAAATTTACAGCATTTTACCACTACAGCTTACTTTATGCATATGCGTTCATTTAAATATTATCCGAAAGTTTATTCATTTCAAAATAAAAACTGTTTAAAAATGAATGGCATAGTTTTATTTGAATAAATGTTTAAATTGTTAGAAAAATGATTAAGAATACAATGTATTTCGAGAAAATTTTATTCATTAATTATTTATGATTTGAAGAATACAAATAAGTGAATGCAATATTTGCAAATGCTCATATGCAAATATTCCATTCTCTTATTTGTATCCTTTAAATCATAAATAATTAATGAATCCCTTAAATCATAAATAATAAAAAACATTATCAGACACTACAAACTTTTTTGCTTATTCAAGTGGATATTTAAAAAATTGAGGGAATATTTCTCTGTAAAAAGCTTTTGACTTAAACGGCCACTACCACAAAAGTAATAGTAACAATAAAAATTTGTGGAAAAAAATAAAGCATTTCTTTTTTTGCTTCTGTTCCTCATTTGATCCATTATACATTCTCATAAAACATCAAGAAAAGTCTTGATATTATATTTGCCTTAAAGTTAAATCACAATGTCAGCAAAACAGTTGAAAAGACACAACAATTCGACGCTATTTATCAATAACAACAATAACAATAACAACAATAACAATAACAATAACAATAACAACAATAACAACAATGACAATAACAACAATAACAATAACAACAATAACAATAACAACAATAACAATAACAA